CTCCTGCTCTGCTCCTGCTCTGCTCCTGCTCTACTCCTGTCCTGCTCCTGTCCTGCTCCTGTCCTGCTCCTGTCCTGCTCCTGTCCTGCTCCTGCTCTACTCCTGCTCTACTCCTGTCCTACTCCTGCTCTGCTCCTGCTCTGCTCCTGTCCTACTCCTGCTCTGCTCCTACTCTGCTCCTGTCCTACTGCTGTCCTACTCCTGCCCTACTCCTGCTTTGCTCCTGCTCTGCTCCTGCTCTGCTGCTGTCCTACTAGTGTCCTACTCCTGCCCTGCTCCTGCTCCTCCTGCTCTACTTCTGTCCTACTCCTGCTCTGCTCCTGCTCTGCTCCTGATCTGCTCCTGTCCTGCTCCTGTCCTACTCCTGTCCTACTCCTGCTTTGTTCCTGCTCTGCTGCTGTCCTACTACTGTCCTACTCCTGTCCTACTCCTGCCCTGCTCCTGCTACTCCTGTCCTACTCCTGCTTCTGCTGCCCTGCTCCTGCTACTCCTGCCCTACTCCTGTCCCACTACTGCCCTGCTCCTGCTACTCCTGCTCTTCCTGCCCTGCTCCTGCTACTCCTGCCCTGCTCTTGCTACTCCTGCCTAACTCCTGCCTTACTCCTGCCCTTCTCCTTTCCTACTCCTGTCCTGCTCCTGCTATTCCTGCCCTGTTCCTGCCCCACTCCTGCTCTGTTCCTGCTACTCCTGCCCTACTCCTGGGCTGGAGCTGGCCAGCCCAGCTGAGCTCGGGAGGATGTGCCAAGAGCTGCTCTGCACTGGGATTTCTGCAGGAGAAGCAGGACCAAGCCCTCCTTCCTCCTTCCCTGTTCCCGCTGGGGTGGGAGGGGACAGCAACAACAACAACTCCCTCCTGGGAATTTTGGGTGCACCCAGGAGCTCGGGATTGGAGCTCTCAGGTTGGTTATGCAAGGCTCTGTTTGCCATTGGCCTAAGCGAGGCACGACTGAGTTTTTATTCCATGGGAAAAAGCCCAAACTGGTGTTTCCTCCCAGCCTTGGGATGATGGGGGGAAGTTTATTCTTAATAATCAAGCAAAACCCACCAGAGTTTTCGTCTCTGCTGTAAAATATTATCCATTAATTCCTAAATAGGAGCATGTGAAGATCAGTTCTGTTATTTTTAACATGAGCCATTTCAGACATCAAAAACAAAGCAGGCAAGAGCCATGTTAAATATCAGAGCATCTCAGAGTTTTATGAGCAAATTCCTATGATTCCAGCAGGTTTTGAGGGAATAAAACAACTCTGCATCCTGTCTCTTGCAGCATTTCCATAGAATTATAAAATCCCAGCCTGGTTTGTGTTGGAAGGGACCTTAAAGCTCGTCTTGTTCCAACCCTTAACCATGGGCAGGGATTTTATCTTTAAAAAGTTGTTGTGCCTTTGGATTGGATAAAAATTGGCATTTTCTTCATTTATTCTCTTGGCTTTTCTAGCAAGGAGAATTGTGTTTGGATTCTCTCCTGGAAATCAGCTGTGGTGGTGCTTTGGTAGCCTTAGAAACTGAAACATGAAGTGGATTCAGCACGGGAAGCTGCACTGACCACAAAACCTTGAGGGAAAAACTGAGTGGGAACAAAAATTTTTAGAATTTTCAGAATTTTTCAGCTTCAAAAAGCTGAAACCTGAAAGGTTCCAGAGCATATTTTTCGTTCAGGTGTTGGAAAGGGAAGCTGTGTTTTCTGCAGTGCCACTGGGGCTGTGTGGCATCCCACCTCAGCTTGGGGACACACCACGGGATGAGCGACTCCAGGAAAACTGCACTCCTGATTTGGAGAATTGATTCGTGGATATATCAGATTTTAGGATGATTTTTAGCATTTCTGCTCTACCTGCTGCCCCGGGCCAGGCTGCTGATGGCTCTGTCCGGCTCAACGCCGCGACGTTAAACGCGCGTTTCTCTCTCAAAACCTCTCTGAATGAATCCCCGCTGAATTAATCACCCTGAATTAACAACCCTGAGTTAATCACCCTTTTCTCCCGCCAGGAATGCGTTTCCTGCTGCGAAGGAATGATCTGCAACGTGGAGATCCCCACCAACGCCACCAACGCGGTGTTTGCCGTGCTGCAGGCCCGCAGGACGGCCGGGGCCAGCCGGGACGTGCCCAGCGGGGCCCTGCTGGTGGCACTGGTGGCAATGGTGGCCCTGTCCTGACACAGCACCCTCAGAGCTGCTGGCACAGTCCCCCGGGCCAGGAACCTCCAGGATCTCCAAGGAGAAGTCAGTGATGTTCCTTCATCGCAGCAAATTTAAGGAAAGGCACATCCTGAACTCCTTGGATATTTTAGTGGGAATCCTTCCCCGTCAGTATTGAAAAGAATCCCCACAAAAACCCCCTGGTGGGTGGACTCGAGTTTTAATTCCCTTTTTTCTGAGAAAAAAGCACATTTTCTCGCTTTTTTGGGCAGAACCATGACAATCACAATCAAAAGGAGCTTTGGATGGATGATGTGGAAAGGTGGAAAATGGATTTAAACCTTTTTTGTTCATAAACAGAGCTGAGTTTCTTGGCTTATCAAGGTGTGTTTGAGCTCACCTTGGTTTCATGGAGAACACTTGGTTTGCGTAGAAAACAAATACGAGGTTGGGTTTTTTTCTGCTTGGTCAGGGCTCTCATTTCCCCTGTCAATAATACCAAATTAAATCTTCCCTTTCTGTAAAATGTCTCATCCTCCCATTTTAAAGCTGTGGGAAATGTAGAATTCCTAAAAGTCCTGTTGGAGCACCTAGAGCAGAGTTCCTGATCTTCCAGACCGAAGGGATTATTTCCTTGCAATTGAGTCTCACCTCAGAATATCACAGAAATATCATTTTTGTGATTTTGGGGTATCACAACTTCGAAATCACAGCTTCATTATCTTAAAAATTCCAAGTGGGCACTTGGAATAAATAAGTGAACTTTTCTGTGTTCTCTCTTGATTTGCACAGGTTTTTCCCAGGAATATTATTGTCCTGATGGATGTTTTCAGGATTAAAATTGATTCAAAAAGGAGATTTGGAGCTGTTCCCTGAAAAAAAATTCGAGTAACTGCATTTTTAGCTTCTTTTACATCAATATTTTCTTAATTATTTGCTGCTTTATGTAACTAATTATATTTAGTCATAAAAAAAAAAAAAGATTTTGAAATCCTTCCAGGCTTGTTGGCATTCCAAAATTCCCTCCACAATATTCTTGGAATGCAGAAAAGTGTCTGAGTTCAGTCTGTGGCTTCTGGATGGGCGATTGTGGAGCTGCAAAGTTTGGATGGAAAAGCTTTTTCCTTACCGAAGGAAAACGGTTCTCGATGTCTGAGTCAAGGTTTTCCAAGATCTGGATTCTTGTGCCATCCAGCAGGGCTGGAATTCTGCTCTGGAGCCAGGCTGGGAGAGCTGGGAATGTTCCCCTGGAGAAGGGAAGGAGAGCTTCCAGCACATTCCAGAACTTAAAGGGGCTCCAGGAGAGCTGGAGAGGGACTGGGGACAAGGGATGGAGGGACAGGACCCAGGGAATGGCTCCCACTGGGAAAGGGGAGATTTGGGTGGGATATTGGGAAGGAATTCCTGGCTGGGAGGGTGGGAAGAGGTTGGGATGGAATTCCCAGAGAAGCTGTGGCAGCTCCTGGATCCCTGGCAGTGTCCAAGGCCAGGCTGGAGCACCTTGGGATGGTGGGAGGTATCCCTGGATGAACTGGGTGGGATTTAAGGTCCTTCCCAACCCATTCCAGGATTCTCTGGTGATCCCATAATTACCTTCATCCTTCTGCTCCATGAAGGATTTTTCCATATGAAAGGATTTTTTTTTTCTAGTGGGCAAACCATTTCCAGGAATTCCTTAATCAGGTGGAAGTCGGCTCCCACATTTTGGGCCATCAGATTTTTCCTGGGTTTGCCTCTAAGCACAGATTGCTCCTGAATTCAGTTTTCTGGGAATAACAATCGCAAACTCAACGAGGCCTCCAAGTGCTCTGTGGCCTCGTAGGAATTCCTGTAAATAATTCACAATAATTCACAATAATCTCAGTACTGAGGGGTTTTTTAATCTTGGAAATTCCATTCCAGAGCTTTTGGGAATGGCAGGAAGACCCTAAAAAACTGAGGGGCAGAGGGAATTGGCTGCAACAACAAGAAAATGACATTTCAGGAGGGAAATCTGTATCTTTTTCCTGGGTTGGATGATTTCTTTTTGTTTTCACTGGAAAGTGAAGAAATTTTGAAATGAAGATTTTAAACCTCATAAAATGTCTCTGCTTTTGGGAAAGAATTGTTTGGGATAAACCCCAATAAATCTCCTGAAGGTTCAAGGATGCAACCTGGGCACGTGAAAGGATTTGATCTTGGATTTTACTTTTTAAAATCAAAGAATGGAGAATTAAGGATGAGTTGAAATTGTTTGGATGCACCAATCCCTTCCTTATCGTGATTTGGGATTATTTTTAATGGGGAATTAAATATGCAAATGCTGGTAATGCAATGCACAAAGAGGCACTTGGCAGAAGAAATACGGAATTTAAGAGGGAATATCAATTTTTTCCCTTTGCTTCATCTTTTTTTTTTCAGTGGAAAACCCTGCTTGGATTTGATGTTAAATGATGATTTTGTAGGAAAAAGGTTCTGAGAGCAGAGAAAAGAGTATTAAAATTCACCATATTTTTTTTTGGCAGGATTAATGACTGTACAGAAATCCCACCTTAATTCATTTATATAGAATGAATTTTTATATTAAATATTTTCAGGTATCGGCTGAATTTTCAGATCTTTGTCTGAAGAACTTAAAAAAGTATTATTTGATTTGATAAAACAAATTTTCAGTGATGTTTTTATCTCAGGTTGGGTTCAAATGTTGTAATTTAAATACGTTCCAATTTTCTTTTGATAAAACCAATTTTCACTGATGTCTTTATCTCAATTTGGGTCCAAATGTTGTAATTTAAATTACAGATGTAATTTAAATATATTCCAATTTTCTTTTGATAAAAACGATTTTCAGTGATGTTTTTATCTCAGTTTGGGGTCACAGATGTTGTAATTTAAATATATTCCACTTTTCATTGCCTGAATTCACCTCAGAACTTCGGGAATGATGTTTCTGTAAATCCATGAATTTTTGAAGCTGAAAATATTTCAGAAATAATGGCAAATCCATCAATTTGTGCATTTAAATGTATTTCTATGATATATAAATGCGTGTAATATGATTTTTATTTACATTGCACTGGACAACCTATAGAAAGTTTATTTTTAAAACTTAAATCCTGATAAATTCTTCATTATTCTGTGTTTGGATGTTTTCTGATTGCTGTGTAACTGCTTTAAATCTTCTCCAGAAATGGCACTTTTAATAAAAAATATTCAAATATTTTCTGGTGGAGAGCGTTTCTGGCGACAAATATTGCTTTGTAAAATCTCAATTTAAATTAAATTCTGCCCTGACATCAGCATAATTTAAATTTCATTTTCTTTACTGTATCCCAGCAATATTTTTGGGAATATTTACCCTCCCTTTTTGAGGGTAATTTATCCTGTTAGAGACACTCCGTGCCCAGAGATATTTGAAAGGCTTGAAGAAAACTGAATTTTATTTGCAGTTTTAAAAATCTGATTTTTATTTTTCATTGCTAAAATAATTTTAATTGGAGTTTCGTAGTGTTTTCATGAAAAGAAAATGAAATTGTTCTGCTGTTGGCATCAAGGAGAGGCAAAAAAAGCAGCTGCAAGTGCAGGAAAGCAGAAAAGAAAAAAAATATTGAATATTCATAATTATTGGAGACTATTTAAAAGGGAAATTATTTAAAGGTTTAAAGGTCACCTCACAAAGTTCATTTGGGGTAATTTGTCCCAATTTTAGTGTTGGTTGTTGGGGATTTTTAGAGATATATTTATTTTTTAACAGACTGTGCAATAATTTAGGGGTTTTATAATTTGTGTTAATTTTGGTTAATTTTAATAGGTTTTATATGTTTTTTTTATTTTTGTAGTTTTTAATTTTTGGGGGAATTTTCAAATTCTTTATTTTTTGTACCTCACTTTTTTATACTGTTACTTTTTTGTGGTTTTTAACATATTCTATATTTTTTTTCTTTCTTCTCCTTTTTTAATCTTTTTTCTTACTTTTGGTTTTTGCTTCTTTTTTCTTTGTTTCCATCCCTTTTTTCCCCCTTTTTGGGTTGGTTTTAACCTCATTTTCTGATTTAACAGCTCAGTAAAGAGCAGTGGGGACATCCAATATCCACAAATATCCTGGAAATCCAAAAAAACATGGAAAACACTTTGGGAATTAAAACTGACCTGGGAATGGTGTCAGGGACAGGATTGGGATAATCTTGTTTCCTCCAGTGCTTTTCCCAGGTATTTAAATTTTCTTATTCTTTTTAAGGCAAAATAATAATAATAATAATAATAATAATAATAATAATAATAATAATAATAATAATAATAATAATAATAATAATAATAATAATAATAATAATAATAATAATAATAATAATAATAATAATAATAATAATAATAATAATAATAATAATAATAATAATAATAATAATAATAATAATAATAATAATAATAATAATAATAATAATCTATTAAATAATAAAACTATTCAATAATAATAGTGTAATAATTAATATTAGATATCCAATAATATATTATATATTTTATCTATTTTACGTATAAATTATAGTATAAATGTAATTATTCACATTAATAATCTCTATTAAATCGCTATTAATAAAACTAATAAATAAAAGACAACTTATTAATCTTTTTATTAAATATTTACTAGTATTATATATGTAATGATGATGATTATGATGATGATTATTATTATTATTATTTTGTTTTCCTTTGTAGGATTTTTTAAATGTTTTGTGTGGTTTTTGTGGGTTTGGTTTTTCCACCTTATTAATGGTCTTGGGATATATTTGGGACAAGAAGAATTGGGAGAATTTCTGAAGAAGCAAATTTAATATGCAAAAAAACTTCAAATACATTTTTAGATGAGGTACCAAAGTCAGAAATGAAAGCTGTAATTAAATTAAGGTTTTGTTTCACACCAGAAAAGCAAATTTTAGGCTTCTGGGTCACTTCATACCTCTCAAGGTGAGGTCAGGAATTGGGGACAGATGAATTATTGCCTTAGGACTTTCCCTGGATTGGGATATTGCAAATCCCAGCCTGAT